TATATATATCTATACTCTATCTTGTATATATCTATGCTCACACTCACTCACACTCACTCGGGCGGCTTCAGCCGAGCCGGAACACAGCGTCCTTACAACCCCTGATCTCGCATTAGACCCCCCAGCTCGCTGGTCGTCCCCACCCCAACGTCCCTCTTCATGATACAATGTTTGCAAACTTCTTGGAAAAGAATGACCGACACTTCGTCTGAGAGTTCCCAGAAGTCGGACGGTAGGCCTATGCGTGGGTGGGGAGCGTAGAATAGTGATTGTAGTGGATGGGGGTAGCGGCTGAGAGTAGGGCGTCGATGTTTACTCGCAAACATCCTTAAGGTAAGTATGCGTGACATCCTCTCTCCGTGTGTACAGCCTCGGCACGCACCTGTGGCCATAGACAGGCACCAGCGTCGCCGAGGCAGTTTGACGACATGAGTGGACACACGGGAGCAATAGGATTGGGAGCCGACTATATCTTCGTTTGGCGCATGCATCGGCAGTACTCGCCGATTTTCTCAATTTTGTGAGCGCGACTTTGTCGTAGTAGTTGTCGTAGCTAGTAATTGTCGTAATTGTTTAGTAGTAGTAATTGTAAGAATTTAGAAACTACATTTGACCGCATGTAAAACATTTAATGTGCTAAACAATACACTCGCGCAGCTCACACGGAATTCGCAATTGGTCTCGCAAACATCTACTTACATACGCATATAGGTAGGCTACGGCAAATAATAGCCGGGCGAAGGCCCGCCCGCATCAACGCGCCCACTAATGTTACGAGAAAATGCGTTCAAACGTATCCATGGTCTTCACGTGAAAGAAAGAAAGAGAGGGAGAGAGAGAAAGGCGGATCGCAGTCAATATTGACGCTTGCACGCGGAGAAGGATGTGAGGGAGAACTGTTAGAAGCTGCCAGTAGTTGTCGATCGCCTAACAGAGACTGCCGCGAACAAAAGCGTCTGCACCCGTCATACGTCACACGAGTGGTGAAACATCGCTCATATATAATGCGCGCAGAAGGCACCGTGTTAGGGTTCCACTGTTATTCACTCTAACACGAATCTTTTTGGTTGCTGTCTGGGCGCTGCCGTGCGTAGTTCGTAGCAAGATTTGCCGGATCGTAGTTCTTGACAAGGATTGTCGGATCGTAGGTTGTGACGAGAATTTCCGGATCGGATCGTAGTTCTTGTCAAGGATTGTCGGATCGTAGTTCTTGACAAGGATTGTCGGATCGTAGTTCTTGACAAGGATTGTCGGATCGTGGTTCTTGACAAGGGTTTCCGGGTCGTACGTGGTACAACGCGACTTCCTAGGTAATCGGCGTGGGGAGAGGAGAAGGCGACACCATGGATTCATCTCTGCTTGCAGTCTCGCTGTTGCTGCTGCTAGTGCCACTGTGTTCAACTGCTGACTATGGGCAATCCCGACCCGGTGGTAAGCCGTTGTCATATCCTAGTTCACCACACCGAGAACGCGCGGTTGGTATAGTTAGAATGGAACGTTGACGTGGATTGGGAGAGTAGATGTAGACGTCTGTGAAGATCGAGCAGGTATTGGGTAGAGTGAAATCGCAGTTGAATGAATTCATGGTGGTTAATGGAACAGTAACCAGTATTAAAGCGATAAACAGAACACAAAGTCATTGCTGCTATGCTCATTGTCATAAATCATTAGCATGCGTGGTTGTCCCTATTTCAATGTCATCATAGTGTGTTGTCGTTACGTGGTTGCATACGTTGTCAGTGTATCATTGTTAACTGATGTTGTTGTGTAATATGTATTCAATGTCGCTGTTTGCTGTTGTGTTGTGTCCCCCGTACTTTGTTTTCGCGACTGCTCGTTTTCACTGAGTAGAATCGCGAGCGTGAGCGGTGAGAGATTGCCGCGAGCGGTGAGAGATTGCCGTGAGCGGTGAGAGATTGCCGTGAGCGGTGAGAGATTGCCGTGAGCGGTGAGAGATTGCCGTGAGCGGTGAGAGATTGCCGTGAGCGACACGTCACAGCACATTACAGCCCAGCTCAGCTAACGTATAAGCTCTTGCTTCGCACCGAACGCTCAGCCGCGGTCCCCGTGCTGAATAGATATGAGTTTAACCCGTACCAGACTGCTATTAGATCCTTCCATGCAAACTAGTCGGCGGGCCAGGCGCGCGCCGCTAAAATTTGTGTACACACTATCTCGCGGGCTAAATACGGCGCCTAGTTACAGCCCGTGTGTGCTGCACAGGCATGCGAGTTACTTACACATAGGTAGAGTTACTTACACATAGGTAAAGTTACCTACACATAGGGCAGAGTACTTACACATAGGTAGAGTTACTACACATAGGGCCGAGTTTACTTACACATAGGTAGAGTTGCTTACACATATTAAGAGTTACGTTACCACATATGTAGAGTTACACATAAGTAAGTTACTACACCATATGGTAGAGTGCGTCATAAGTAGAGTACTTACACCATACGGTAGAGTTTACACAATAGGTAGAGTTACCATAGTAGAGTTACTGACATAGGTAGAGGTAATTACAGCGTAATGTGCTGTCGCAGGGCACGGAGGCTGGCGCGACGAGGGCCTGAGATACGCCGGGGATGCGTGCTACCCTAACCCGTGCTGGCACGGCGCCGCATGCAGGTACGGTACTGAGGTGGGGCGAGCCGGTGCGACTTGCCGCTGCACGCGTGACTATGTGGGAATGTATTGCCAGTAACCCGATCACGACTCCATAGCGTCGTAAGTGGCAGAGAGGTAAGCGAGAGGGGAGGATGTAATGAGTTTGGGTATGGGTGTGGCCCTGGAGGGGCCAGTATATAATTACCTGGCTTAGGGTTGTGATGACCAACTTTCACCTACCCTTTATTCTAACCATCAGTGATTGCAGAACCTTAAACCACAGCTCTAACCATAGCCCGTAATTTTAACGCCATGCGCTACTGCCAACTTTTCATCCTGGTACCAACCTCGTAAATTGTAACGACCTAATTCTAACGATAATTCTAACGGCTTAACCTAGACTAACCGTAATCCTAATCTTAATCTCAAAACCCCACTCTAACCATACCCATCATCCGCCTAATTTCCAACCCTATCGCTTACCCCAGTCAATTTTAACCGCTAACCCTGAACGCTAACCTACCGTAATTCTAACCTAACCCATAGGGCCTAAATTCAACTAACGCTACCGCCTACGCCATGAATTCTAACTTAGCTCTCACCCATACCTAGCCTCAACGTCTCACCTAACCCCACCCCCGACGTCCCTACCTATACCTAAATTCTAACTCACGTGCTGACAGTGATATGGTCCTCGTGGGCCACCATAGTAAAGCCCCATGTGAACGCACTGGCTGCGCTAGACACCAAGAAAGATACTGCATGTATTAACTGTTCGTACTATGGTTATTATGGACGCTCCGATCGGTAGTTGAGTAGCATGTAGTCAGTCCTTCCACTTATCACGTGTTTATCATATACGCGTTTTATTTCGACATTTTTCAAGTATGTTTTAGCACAGGAACAGATCGTATATATCTGTCTAATGTATAATCAACGCTGATAGGGTCATTCCCCCCAGGTACTGCCCGCGGACGTTACCGCTCTGGGTACGGTCCGGTATATCGGAACGTACCCTCGGTCAATAGCTGATATGGTTAGGGTTAGGGTTAGGGAGTAGCGTAGGCGACTCCTAGACTCGTTATGGAGTAGGCGAGGTACGGTCCGGGCATATTAGATAGTTACCAGGTCACGTTCCGTATACCGGACCGTACCAGAGTACGTTCCGGCAGTAACCCTGGGACATTAGACCCTGGCAGCTATAATAACTGTTGGATTAGGTAGGGTTTTCTTCACATGTTAATCATCATGGTATGCGGTAGTTATTAATAAGCAAGAACTGAAAACATATAAAATTAACCGACATAAGATATGTGATAGATGTGTATAAAGTTCGTAGAATACGAGATTCGTACCGAACTACAGTGCGGGTAATGCATCGAGATTTCATTGCAGGACCGTTTCAGAATGCTCCTATCTTTAACCCTTACACATCGCACGGCCACAAAGGTGTGAGTGTGGCGCCCCCTGGTGGCCACAATACGCACCAGGGCAATGACTACGACTCCTTGCTACCGCAAAACTATGGAGGTTAGAATATGATCAACATGCATGCTTGCTCCTCTGGGTAGTTGCCTCCTCTCTCCCTCTAGCAGTTACTATAGAGAGAAGATGACGTACATGTTGCGTTGGCGTATTTCGTACCTGTTTTGTGCAATATTCATTGCTGTTAGCCATCATTATCGTTCACGTTTCATCGTTCATGTCGCGCATGACACATAGCAATACGCTGAAAGCGTGGTCTTCTCGTTAAGACGAATAGTTCAGTTACACTCACCATACAATATCGCAACACGAAACGTTTACTGGGCTAGTAGGGTTCCTTATAAGGGTCAACTTAATTATGTGTTAACAATTCTGCAGGAGTGAATAATCTCTATTATTCACTCCTGATATAATTATTCCATATATATATATTTAATATATAGATGGTCATGAGATTGGACATGGTAGTGGTTCACACGGTGGCTCAGGCCCACAGCTGAGGTGCCGACTACCCCCGTCGTTCGGAACCTGCAGGTAAGCGGCAGAGTTCACGCGTTCTCACACTAACAATAGCTACACACATACTACACTAGTACAATACATACATACTACAATAGTACAACACATACATAGTACAATAGTACCATACATACATAGTACAATAGTAGTAAAATATAGCTACATCTAGACGAGACAAAAAATAACCACGAGTTATGCGTCTACACATGTAAAAAATCGGTTTTATACCCGGGTTGAAACGCGATAGTTTTGACTCGTGTAAACGCTTTATTCGAGACATTTTTCCTCTGTGTAGGTTTAGTTCATATTAATAAACTCTCGTAAAACGCAAAACATTCGATATACGTTGTAATTTCGAGTAATAAATGATTATGTAGTCAGAGCCGGATTAACATCGTATTAAATATAGCAGATGCTACAGGCCCCGCGTTATTTTGAGAGGCTCACATGCACCCACAAGCAGAATTATTTTCATAACAACGATTATCGTACAAGAGTTAATTCCTTAGATGGGTCCCACGTCATGATGCTACAGGCTCACAATGTGTTAATACAGCCATAGTATGTGATATGTGGGTATAGTGGATGCAGTAGGTGAATTCATAATGGTCACTAACGAAAATGGCCTTACAATTTAAACACATGTGTCTGTCTTAAAGACTTGACCGCTAACACAAGGTTAAATGTGGTTTATTTGTCACGTATAGTGGTAATGTGCTGAAGTGGTACTACAGTACGGCCTCTAGGATCTGTCAGGTGTTCACATGGAGCGGATGCAGCGGTAACCCCAACAAGTTTGATACGAAGAGCCAGTGTGAGCGCGTCTGCAAGAAAGGTACAGGAGACAAGATAAGCAGAAGTGTGTGTGTGTGTGTGGCGCGCAGCGCGCGTGTGTGTGTGTGCGTGGTGCGTGCGGCGGCGTGGCATGCGTGTGTGTCTTGTGTCTCTGTGTTGTGTGTGCGTGCGTGCGTGCGTGCGTGGCGTGCGCGCGCAGCAGTGCGCTGTGTATGATTTTCCTTTTTTTGTGGTCAAAAGGGGGGTCCGCGACCCCTCGACCACCCCTCTGGATTCCGCCCCTGCACAGCACACCGCACACACACACACACACCACACATACACACACACACGAACATATACACACCACAACACATCACACACGACACGCACACCGCTACACACACCATACACACACACACACAACACACACACACACACACACACTCCCCACACACACACAACCACACACACACACACGTACATACCATTATACATCATACGTAAACACTGCACGCACATGGCAAATTTGACCACCGTAACGTTTGGCAGCGTCCGAGCCATGCCCAGTCTAGGGGTCTGGAGGCAGCCCCCCCAGAAATTGAAATATTTAAGCCATTTGGGGCATATTTGCGCCGTTTTGGGGAGGGCGACCGCCCCCACCGCCCCCCCTGCTTACGCGCTCAAGCCCATTGTCCGCCTGTCCAATAACTCACATCACTCACACTCACGCAACACTCACATCACACTCACTCGGGCGGCTTCAGCGAGGCGGAACCACAGCGTCCTACACCCCTGATCTCGCATTAGACCCCCAGCTCGCTCGGTCGCCCCACCCCAGCGTCCCTCTTCATGATACAATGTTTGCCGAAAACCTTCTGGAAAAAGAATGACCGACACTTCGTCTGAGAGTCCCGAAGTCGACGGTAGGCCTATGCGTGGTGGGGAGCGAGAGTATGATGTAGTGATGGGGACGCTGGGAGTATGGGCGTCGATGTTTACTCGCAAACATCCTTAAGGTAAGTATCGTGACATCCTCTCTCCTTTAATAGCCCTCGGCAAGCCACCTGTGGGCTATAGACAGGCACCAGCGCGCGAGCAGTTTGACGAGCATAGTGTGACACCGGGAGCATAGGATTGAGACGACTATATCTTAGTTGGGCGTGCATGCTCGGCATACTCGCCGATTTCTGCAAATTGTGAGCGCGACTTTGCGTAGTAGTTGTCGTAATTATTTAGTAAGTATTAAATTGAATTGTAACAATTTAGAACTTACATTAGACGCGCAATGTAAAACATTTATGTGCTAAACCAATACACTCGCCGCCAGCTCACACGGACATTCGGCAATTGGTCTCGCAACATCTACTTCACGATACGCGTACGCTACGTAGGCTACGGCCAAATAATAGCCGGGCGCAGCACCCCCGCATCAACGCGCCCCTAATGTGTACAAGAAAATGTCGTTCACAAACGTATCCATGGTCGTTTACGTGAAAGAAAGAAAGAGAGGCGAGAGAGAGAGAAAGAGAAAGGGCGGCAGAGAGAGAGAGAGGCGGATCGCAGTCAAATATGACGCTTTGCCCGCGAGAAGATGTGAGGAAACTGGTTAGAAGCTGCCCCAGTATTGTCGACGCCTAACAGAGACGCCGCGAACAAAGCGGTCTGCGCCCGTCATAACACGTCACAGCGGAGGGGGTGAACCATTGGCTCATATATAATGGCGCGCAGGAAGGCACCGTGTGAGGGTTCCAACTGCTATTCCACTCTACAGCGAATCTTCTGATTGCTGTCTGGGCCTGGCGTGCGTAGTTTCGTACAAGATTTTGCCGGATCGTAGTTTGACGAGAATTTCCGGATGTCGCAGGATACGTAGTTCTTGTCAGGAGTCGATCGTTGTTCTTGACTAAGGATTGTCGGATCGTAGTTCCTTGACACGGATTGTTGGAGTCGTAGTTTCTTGACAAGGATTGTCGGATCGTCAGTTCATTTGACAAGGATTGTCGATCGTCAGGTCTTGACAAGAATCTCCCGGATCGTAGTTCTTGACAAGGATGTCCGAATCGTGTTCTTGCAAGGGTTCCGGGTCGTACGTGGTACACACGCGACTTTCTAAGGTAATCCTGGCGTGGTGAGGAGGAGAAGGCGAAAACCATGGATCATGCTCTGCTTGCAGTCTCGCGTGTTGCTTTGCTGCTAGTGCCTTACTGTGTCCAATGCTGACTATGGCTAATCCCGGCCGGTGGTAAGCCGTTGTCATATCCTAGTTCACCACACCGAGAACGCGCGTTGTGTATAGTTAGAATGAAACGTAACGTGATTGGAAAAGATTAAGGACGTCTGTGAGTCGAGCAGGTATGGGTAAGTGAAATCGGCAGTTGAATGGAATTCATGTGTTTAATGGAACAGTAACCAGTATAAAGCGATAAACAGAACACAAATCATTGCTGCTTGCTCATTTCCATGAAATCATTAGCATGCGTGGTTTGTCCCTATATTATGCATCATCGTGTGTGTCGTTACGTGCTTGCATTACGTTGTGCAGTGTATCCATTGTAACTGATCGTTGTGTGTAATATGTATTTTAATGTCGTTCTGTTTGCTGTTGTGTGGTCCCCCGTGCTTTGTTTCGCGACCTGGCTCGTTTTCAACTGATAGAATCGCGAGCGTGAGCCGTGAGAAGATTGCCGCAGCCGTGAGGAGATGCCGTGAGCGGTGAGAGATTGCGTGAGCGGTGAGAGATTGCCGTGAGCGTGAAGGTGCCGTGAGCGGTGAGAGATTGCCGTGAGCGACACGTCACAGCACATTACAGCCCAGCTCAAGCTACGTAGCTCTTTGCCTCGCCACCGAACCATTCAGGCGGTCCCCAGTGCTGAATAGATAGAGTTATACTCCGTGCAGACTGCAAAATTAGATCCTACATCAAACTAGTCCGCGCCGGGCCAGGTGCGCGCTAAATTTGTGTACACACTATTCCTGGCTAAATACGCGCTATAGTTACAGCCGTGTGTGCTGCACAGGCAGAGTTACTTACACATAGGTAGAGTTACTTACACATAGGTAAAGTTACCTACACATAGGCAGAGTTACTTACACATAGGTAGAGTTACCTACACATAGGTAGAGTTACTTACACATAGGTAGAGTTACTTACACATAGGTAGAGTTACTTACACATAGGTAGAGTTACACATAGGTAGAGTTACTACACCATATGGTAGAGTGCGTCATAAGTAGAGTACTTACACCATACGGTAGAGTTTACACATAGGTAGAGTTACACATAAGTAGAGTTACTGACACATAGATAGAGGTAATTACAGCGTAATGTGCTGTCGCAGGGCAACGGAGGCGGCGCGACGAGC